TTCTCGGCATCCTTCTTCAAACACATATGTTATTCTATATTTTAGGTTCTATCCGTCAGCTAGAATTTAGAATAACAGAGTTGGAAGGGACCTTGGAGGTCTTCTAGTCCAACCCCCTGCTTAGGCAGGAAACCCTACACCACTTCAGACAAATGGTTATCCAACATCTTCTTAAAAACTTCCAGTGTTGGAGCATTCAGAACTTCTGGTGGCAGGTAGTTCCACTGATTAATTGTTCTAACTGTCAGGAAATTTCTCCTTAGTTCTAAGTTGCTTCTCTCCTTGATTAGTTTCCACTTGTTGCTTCTTGTTCTACTCTCAGGTGCTTTGGAGAATAGCTTGACTCCCTCTTCTTTGGGGCAGCCCCTGAGATACTGGGACACTGCTATCATGTCTCCCCTAGTCCTTCTCTTCATCAAACTAGACATACCCAGTTCCAGCAACTGTTCTTTATACCCTGTGTCCCCCAAAATAAGACATCCCCTGATAATAAACCCAATCGGGCTTTTGAGCGCATGGCAATAAGGCCAAGCGTTTATTTCAGGGTTCAAAAAAATATAAGACAGGGTCTTATGGTATGTTTTAGCCTCCAGTCCCCTAATCATCTTGGTTGCTCTTCTCTACACGCTTTCTAGTCTCTCAACATCTTTTTTACATCGTGGGGACCAAAACTGGATGCAGCTCAACCGGGGAGGCTTGTCTCAATAAGAAATGAATATTTTGCAGAAGTGTGACACACATCCCTTAGATTCTACAACTGTAGTGAAAGGAAAATGGGCTCTCCTGCCTTACAACCATGATGAGTGTGAACTTTATTCCTGACACCGACCTCTTTCAACCTATAGTAAGAACTAAACCAGAGCTACAATAAGAGTGTTGTTGGTTTACAAACCCCACAGTAACCTCAAATGCTTTCGCTCCTTGGTTGCTAAGCATAGTCCAGGAGTGTCCAAAGAGTTTACTCTTTGAGTAAACACTCAAAGAGCCATTTCCGTTTCCCACAGAAAAGAAAACACCGGGAGCCACAAAACCCTTCCCGTGCCTAAGTATTTCTTGAGCGGCCACAAAACTAGCAGACGTAGTTGAATTAAACGTTCTGTTTTCTTCTGAAATTTTTTCTTTTCTTGGATTTATCCATGGTTGGCCTACCGGGAGTTGAAAAGCTCAATAAATCACGTGCCGGCGGCTGTCACACATTGGCGGTTGTGACGCATATTTTGAGTGACAGGGAGCCGCAGCAGAGGGGTGAAAGAGCCACCTGAGGCTCCAGAGCCGCAGGTTGCTGATCCCTGTCCTAGCCCTTTGCATGGCTGGGCCTGCCCGAACGCTCAGATTTGCCAGGGATACGTTTGGCCTATTCTTTTAGCTGTGTTCACCCAAGATATCATCATCCTGGTTACTGAATTAGCTCACATGAGCGATTTGCACAACACAACACAATGAGCCCTCAACGAAGCCAAGAGGCTGGGCTCAGACGATGCGTTGAATTTCAAACAAGCTCCAAACTGACCAAGTTCTGCTTGTGACACAGAGAGAACGTCAAGTCATTTTGTTCAGCACACGGTGCAAAGTTGGGGAGTCCATGATGTCTTGCTACCCTGGGGGAAACTTCTCATTTGTGGCCGGGGAGGTTCGGTCACCCGGGAGATCAACCCAGGCCAGTAAACCTCCAGTGACCGTCCTCACAATTCAGCTCATGCCTGGCATCTCCCGAGCAAAATATCTTTTCTCCAGGAGCCGCAAAGAAATCCTGAACTTGAAGCCCAAGTTGAAATACCTAGTTTTGCAATTCTCCAGCTGGCAAATATATTTTCTCCAGGGCTGTCTCTTTCTCCTTTTTTCCATTTCCAAGGAGCCTCCAGGCTGGTTTTGCTAATCGCTCGGTTTCTTGCAAACTACACAGCACCTCCCTCCTCGCCTGTTCTCAGAAGTTAATTTGACAACTCTCTTCCCCCTCCCCTTCCCTGGTAGCTCGCCAGGATTTTGGGGGGGGGGGGAAACAGCTCTCTGACACCCCACACACATCTGGGCCTCCCTTTTGCAGAAAAATGCTACCCAAGCAAAATAATTCCACTCGGTCTGGGGGTGGAGGTGGGAGAAGGAAGACAGGAAGAAGGGAGCTGAGTCAGTAGAATTGACTGGAAATCTTCTTTTTTTCACGCTGAGTTGGTAATAACTGGAGGTGGCTCAAAGGAAGGGGCTGTGGGGAAAGGAGCAAGGGATGGGCTGCTGGGGGTTCGTAGGGGTTCGGAAGAACCTCTAGCTAAGATTCTGTGCAGTTCGGAGAACCCCCCAAATCCCACTCCCGCCCCGCCCCGTCCCTCCCCTCCCAAGAGTCCCCACACAGCCTGTTTTGGATGCATGTTAAGTGCTGGGTGCGTGTGGAGGTTCAGGGAGGGTGAAAAACGGGCCTACCGGAAGTTTGGGAAGGACGGAAATGGGCCCGTTTCCGACCTCCAGAGGGCCTCTGGAGCCTGGGGAGGCCATTTTCACCCTCCTGGAGGCTCGAGGAAAGCCTCCAGAGCCTGGGGAGGGCAAAACTGCCCCTCCCCCTCCGCCATGGTACAGGAGGCCGACTAGGCCACGCCCACCCAGCAACTGGGCAGAGAACCCCTCGCTAAAATTTTTGAAGCCCACCCCTAGAAAGGAGGGATGGGGGGAGGGGCACAGAGCAACCCCCACCTCTATCAAAGAAGAGGAAGGGGTCAAATTATTCTCCAAAGCACCGGAGGGCAGGACAAGAAACAACGGATGGAAACTAACCAAGGAGAGAAGCAACCTGGAATTAAGGGGAAACTTCCTAACAGTGAGGACAATTAACCAGTGGAACAGCTTGCCACCAGAAGTTGTAGGTGCTTCATCACTGGAGGCTTTCAAGAAGAGACTGGACAGCCACCTATACGAAAATGGTATAGATCCTCCTGCTTGAGCAAGGGGTTGGACTAGAAGACCTCCAAGGTCCCTTCCAGCTCGATTCTGATTAATTGATTGGAAGATATCTACCCAGGTCTACACTGAACTGTGTTCAAGATTCACACAGTCACTTGTCGTCCTTCGCACTCTGCACACATCCATCAGGGAGGTTGATTGCAAATCAAATCATCCTCAGTCAGCATATCCATCAGGAAGGCTGACTGGGAATGATGGGAGTGGTAGTCCAACATATTCTGAGCGCAGCCAAACTCTTTGCGGGTGCTATTTGGGAGATCTCAAATGGTCCAGAAAAGTTGTTTCCAACACTCTTGCTCTTCTCTTCAAAGAAGGATTAAATTAATCAAGGTTCAGTCCATGATTGGGGCACCCAGAGACCACCAGCAGAGCTCTTCTATTAAAAAACGACTACATGATGAAAACTCCTTAATTGCACAACCCATGGACAGATTTCATCCCAGTTTCAATTGGAAACCCTGAGCACCTTAGGCAAGCCAAATCCAGAAACGTTAAGAGAATTCCCGGAAGCCTCACCCTCAGGCAAAAAGCAGCCATCGACAGGCACACAGAGATAAACAACATCTACATACCATTGAAAAGAGACAATCGAAAGGCCAAAAGAAAACAACAAGACCGAAACATCTCCTCACCAGCAACCAACACAAAGATAAGGAGACTAACACCAAGAACTCTAGAGCAGAGGTCTTCAAACTTGGCAGCTTTAAGACTTGTGGACTTCAACTCCCAGAATTCTCCAGCCAGCATAGCTCTAGACCCATGATGGCGAACCTATGGCACGCGTGCCACAGGTGGCACACGGAGCCATATCGGTGGGCACGTGAGCTCAGCTCTGGCGTGCATGCGTGCGCTGGCCAGCTGATTTTCGGGCTTTCTGGGCCCACCGGAAGTAGGGAAACATACTGTTTCCTGCCTCCGGAGCGCCTGGGTGTGTGTGTGTGAGGAAGGCCTGTTTTTTTTGCCCTCCCCAGGCTCCAGAGCCTTTCTAGGAGCCTGAGAAGGGTGAAAATGGCCTTCCCCACCACCCTTGAAGGCCCTCTGGGGGACCGGGAGTTGGCAAACGGGCCTTTTCCGGCCTCCGGATGGCCTCCAGGCGGGTGGGGAAGGCCGTTTTCTCCCTCCCCAAGCTCCTAGAAAGGCTCTTGAGCCTGGGGAGGGCGAAAAATTGGCCTACCGGGCCTACCGGGCCGTCATGTGCCAAAAGTGTGGGGAGCATGGGTGGGGGGTCACATGCATATGCATGGGGGTGGGGCACATAGAATTATGGGTGTGGGCACGTGCACGCACGACCCCCCCCGCTCCCCCGACTTTTGGCACGCGATGGCAAAAAGGTTAGCCATCACTGCTTTAGACCAACAGCTAAGCTGTAAAGATCCCAATCAAGGAACTACCAACTCAGACAAACAATCAAACAGTAAACAACAGCTTAATCAAAGAACTAGTGGGAAGAAACCAACACTCCCACCAACAATTAAAGGACAAGGCAGTTGTATGTAAACAGAGAGCAAACCCCACTCCCTTCTAGTGCTGATGATGTTATCTAATTGGGTAAGGCAACATCTGCAAGGAAACAGCTCAGCGCCGAGAACACCAAGGGCTTCATTAGAAACAGAAACCTAGATAAGCAGGGATTAACACCAGACAAATAATCAAGCCAAAAAAAAAACCCTAATCAAGGAGCTACCAAGGAAAAAAAAAAACAGACTCCCACCAACACTGCTGGGGCAAGCAAAGGGAGCAAACCCCACTCCTTTCGCGCACCGATGACGTTCATTGGGTCACGAAATGTCTCCGAGAAAACCACCAGGCTCAGAGAGCACCGAGGACCCCCCAGTCCCAAATCTCTCAATCTTGTAGTTGAAACTTCCAAGATGAACGAGCCAAGTCTTGGACTGCCTGTTTGGGTCTGATAATGACTTAAGAACAAGGACCCTTCTTTTTTTTCTCAGCCCAACGGAAACGTTGACGTTTGGAGACCCTCCAGGTTTCCCAAACCATCACACACATGCCCCCCATCCCTCTCCCTGTGCCCCACTTCGGTTTGCACTCACCTGTGTGTAGAACGACAGGCCCACGGAGCCGTGGCATGAAACTGAAGCCTGGGATGGGTGGGGTAGGGGAGGCTCAGATCAGCCTTGGCAAGCTGCTTTTTTCTGCAGGGGGTAGGTGGGAGAAGAGAAATAGGGGAGGGGGTCGGAAAGAAGAGAAATGATTAAAAGGCGGCAGGGCCCAGTTCTGTTGGAAGAGGTCAAGGGGGTGGGGATGCAGTGGGCAGGAGAATCTACACAGCGGGACCCTCCCAGGCGGAGAATGAAGTAGATTGGAAGAGACTCGGGTGTGTTTTATCCTCGGCCCGAGCGATCCGCGGCTCAGGTTACTTGCTGGATAAATATAGAGCTTTATCTGACCTCGCACCATGGCTGGAGCAATGCACACATTCCAGCATTGAGGGATTTAAAGGGGCAGGAAAGGAGGATCCTGCCCAGCGTGTCCGGCAGGGTGGATCCTCCTGTCCAGATGGAGAGTGGAAAGGGGAAGAAATTGGAGATCTGGGGAGAAAAAAAAAGGGGGGGTAGCTAGGGGATACATCAGATAGGAAATTAAGGCATGCCCCACCGTTCTTGTAATAATGCAGTGGTTCTCAGCCTAGACTGCTCGAAGCTGTATGGACTTCAACTCCCAGAATTCCCCAGCCAGCTGGGGAATTCTGGGAGTTGAAGTCCATACAGCTTCGAGGTGCGTGGATTAAGAAATTAATCCATAATTCTTATTAATCCATAATTCCATAGTCCTTAATTCATAAGGACTAGAAACCTGGAGGTTAAAAAAAAAAAGAAAGAAAGCTGGCATTCATGGAACGTGGCACCCCCCCCCTCCCCGGAATCCATTGTAAATTTTTTATTTCCTCTGGCGCGTGCTTAAAAAAAAAATAAAAGGGAGCAACGTGAAAATCACAACGGCAATTATCTCTGCCATCTTTGCAACGCTGTGTTCACACCGAGGGAATGAGGAAACGAGACAGGCCAGGGACGCACCACCTGGATTAACCTGCGTTGCCATCGGGATAAAGATCTCTTGGCCTCGGTTTGCCGTTTGTGAAATGGGCGCACAACAAGCCGCCAGGCTTTGCAAGTTGATTAAAAAAAAAATTAAAAAAAAATGGGAGAAGGAAGCGGCACTCGCTGGCCTGAACTCCAGCAGGAGTAAGGAAGCAAAAATCTCCCCAGAACTGCTGCCGATTGCAAATTCTTTCTTTGTTTCTTTTCAGCAGGTAAAGAAACCAGAGATTTTTTAAAAAGGGGAAGATTGGCTTAATTTGTAGTGTCCCCAGTCCAGGAGGGGAAACCAGGTGTAGCCTTTAAGAATCTGGTGTAGCCTTGGTGTAAAAAGAACACCAAGAGCCGTGGTGGCACAGTGGTTACAAGGCAGTATTGCAGGCTGACTCTGCCCACTGACAGCAATTCGATCCTGACCGGCTCGAGTTTGACTCAGCCTTCCATCCATCCGAGGTCGGTAAAATAAGGACCCAGATTTTGGGGGGCAAAAGGCTGACTCTGTAAACCACTTAGAGAGGGCTGTAAAAGCACTGTTAAGCGGTATATAAGTCTAAGTGCTATTCCTTCCTTCCTTCCTTCCTTCCTTCCTTCCTTCCTTCCTTCCTTCCTTCCTTCCTTCCTTCCTTCCTTCCTTCCTTCCTTGTGTTAGAACGCAGTATTGCAGGCTGCTAATTCTGCCCATGGCCAGCAGTTCGATCCTGACCAGCTCAAGTTTGACTCAGCCTTCCATCCATCCGAAATAAAGACCCAGATTTTGGGGGGCAAAAGGCTGACTCTGTAAACCACTTAGAGAGGGCTGTAAACCATTGTTAAGCGGTATATAAGTCTAAGTGCTATTGCTATCTTCCTTCCTTCCTTTCCTTCCTTCCTTCCTTCCTTCCTTCCTTCCTTCCTCCCTCCTTCCTTCCTTCCTTCCTTCCTTCCTTCCTTCCTTCCTTCCGTGGTGGCACAGTGGTTAGTAGGCAGTATTGCAGGCTGACTCTGCTAACTGCCAGGAGTTCAATCCTGACCAACTCAAGCTTGACTCAGCCTTCCATCCTTCCGAGATGGGTAAAATGAGGACCCAGATTGTTGGGGGCAAAAGGCTGACTCTGTAAACCGCTTAGAGAGGGCTGTAAAAGCAGTGTGAAGCGGTATATAAGTCTAAATGCTATGGTTAGTCACGGCGTCCCCAGTTCAGAAAAGAGAACCAGGTTTACCGTTTTAACTGGTGGTGGGTCCCGTCGGGAGGGAGAACTTGGTTTGGCCTTTTACCTGTGTTCAGGAAGGAGAAGCAGGTTTAGCCTTTTTGGTGGCATCGCCAGTTCAGAAGGGACAACCAGTTTTAGCTAACCTGAACCAGGGGATTTAAAAATGTGGCTGGAACCACGTTAAAAAAACAAAAAACAAAAGGGGGAATATAATTCATTTCAATTTAATTTTCTTCTATTCGGTTGATGAATCCCAAATATTTTTTTTAAGAAAAACATGTTGGTCACTTCAAAACTTACAACTGATGGCATTGGGATCCTAAAAAGTTAGCTTGTGTGTACCCAAACTTACAACCCAAATGTTGGAGATGTGATTGTGTTGATGCTACCTATTTTCATGTTTGGTGGACTTGTAAAAAAGTTAAAGCATTTTGGATAAAAATATGGTGGATTATCCAAAATATTTTTTAAAAAGAGGATAAAGTTTACTCCACAGTTGTTTTTGTTAGGTATAATTACAGATTGTATGGCTATAGAGACTAATTTGATTCTGAACTTAATAACTTCAGCAAGACTCTTAGTGGCGCAGTACTGGAAGAAGGAAGATTTACCTACTATTCAAGAATGGACATTAAAAGTAGTAAATTTAGCAGAAATGGCAAAAATTTCTGCATATCTAAAGGACCATTCAAATGAGAAATATATGTTAGAATGGAGAAGATGGATTCATTATATTCAAGGCATTTAAATATTGGACTAAAAAATTTCAAATAGCTTATGAATGATCAAAGAGGTTTTATAAAGTACTTAAATTTAGTTTAGTAACAGGGGAGTTAAAAGTTCAAGAGGGGGATAGGAGACTATAGATAATTAGCTTATGTTAGCTTATGATTGTCAAATGTTATACCCTGTATTTTGCTCTGGGAAGTGGGGGGGAGGGAGGGGAAGGGGAGGGCTGGAAGGGGAGGAAGGAGGGGGAAGGGGAAATGTCTGTAAAACTTTTAAAAACTTTTCAATAAAAAAACTTAACAACTGAGTACCTGGAATGGGGGAGGGGAGACAGCCTATGCAATGCTGCTCCCTATGTTTTAACCACAGGTGCATTTCCAGAATGGGGTGCAATTAGTGGTGGGTTTCAAATTTTTTTACTATCGGTTCTGTGGGCGTGGCTTAGTGGGCATGGCAGGGGAAAGATACTATAAAATCTCCGTTTCCACCCCACTCCAGGGGAAGGATACTGCAAAATCCCCATTTCCTCCTGATCAGCTGGGATTCGGGAGGCAGAGAATAGATGGGGACGGGGCCAGTCAGAATTTTTACTACCGGTTCTCCAAACTACTCAAAATTTCCGCTACCGGTTCTCCAGAACTGGTCAGAACCTGCTGAAAACCCACCTCTGGGTGCAAATCTCCCTCCTACCTTTCCCCCCTCCCCCGGCCCAAATATTTCCCGGGACAGCTCTCTAAATATGCACCGAACACAAGACCACAGAACAAATGTGTCACTCAGGGATGACTGGCAGGGATGACCGAGCCTTGGGCTCCTTTGCTCCAGGCCGCAATCCTCAGGGTCTGACTCATCCCAGAATGATAGCAGAGGCTTGGGGCAAAGTGAGATCATCCTTTCCAGTTACCTCCCCCCCCACCTCCCTCTCTCTGACGCAGCAGCCCCTCCTTATGTAAAACACGACAGGAACACAAAGTTTGCCCCTCTGCCCCAAAGGAAATAATTTGACTTTTCGCTCTGTGCTTAAACACTGGGGCTCCTCGGTTGAAGCCTGGGGTCAAAGCACATGGGACCACACAGGGTTCCTGAGCATGTGCAGAGGGCACTGCAAAAAAAAATAAAAAGCCCGGTATCTGAACGGCGATAATTCTGGTTATCAAAGAAGTCAGAAAGGAGAGAGGAGGAGAGGGTAGGAAGAGGAGAGGGAGGGAGAGGAATGGAAGAAAGGAGAGGAGGAAGTGAAGGTGAGAAGGGGGAAAAGAAGAGAGAAGTGGGGGAAAGGAAAAGGAAGTAGGATGAGGTAGGAGAGGAGGAAGGAGAAAGTAGGAGAGAAGAGGAGGGAGGGAGGGGAAAGAAAGGAGGAGGAGAAGAAGGTTTGTTGTGGAATGAGGGAAGAAAGAGAAGAAGAGCAACTCCGAATGTAATTAAAATGTCTTATTTTAATGCTTTCTTTAAGGGAAACATGTATATGTAGGATTTATTATGTATAAGAAAATGTATATTTTCTATTATGGGGGGAGGGGGAAAGGGTGCGGGGGAGAAAATTGTTTGTATTTCTTATAAAACTTTTCAATTAAAAAAAAACACTGGGGTTCCTCGGTTGGCGCCTGGGGTCAAAGCACATGGGACCACACAGGGCTCCTGAGCATGTGCAGAGGGCACTGCAAAAAAAAAAAAAAAAGCCCGATATCTGAACAGAGATAACTCTGGTTCCACATCTGGCCTCTTGTAGAGACACGGGAGCCCATCTCCTCCCCCCGGAGTCTCAAAGGGACTCCAGAAAGAAGGGCTTCTTCTCTAGAAGAAGCTCTAGACGGCTCTAGAATCGGAGCTTCTCTTTGACCCAACGAAGTTTCTCTGGAGGGCTTCCTAAGAACTTGGCCTAACAATCCCCTCCCTCATCCTCATCCTCATCCTCATCATCCTCCTTTCCAGCAGCCTTCCCTTCTTCCTTCCCCCCAGCCAGGAATGCCAGGACTACAACTCCCATCACCCCCACCCCCCAGATAGGGTTCGGGCCACGGGTCAAGGTTGCCCACTCTGCCCACCCTTCTGGGCTCCCCCCACTCCTCAAGCCCACCCACCCACTCACTCACTCCGCGCCCGCCAGACCGAACCCACCCGGCCAGAGCGATGCGCGCGGGGGTCCCAGGGCGGGGCAGGGCGGAGGGGGGGAACGAGGCGATGGTTTGGGGAGGGGGCGTGAGCGAGGCCCCCCCAGGCTCCGGGGTCCCCCCCTTGGGCACCCCCGAGCCCCGCGCAGCTACCTCCCTGCGGATCTCGGCGTCCCGGGGCGCCCCTGCCCGGGGCGAAGGAGAGCGCCCCTCTGCCAGGCTCCGGGGCGGGGAAGGGGCGCCGCCCGCACTCACCTGGCCGTCTCCGGGGGGGACGAGCCGAACCCGGCCGGCTCCATGGAGCCCCTAGCCCACCGCCCGCCACCTGATGTCACAATCCGGCCACGGGTGACGCAGCGCCGGTCGGCTGATAAAGCCGGAGCGGAGCTCTCAAGGAAGGGTCTCCGCGCTCTGCACGCGCTCAGAGGGCTCATCGGGACAGGGTCACCTGGTGGTGCACCGTCCACCATACATCTGGGAGTCCCTGTTCCTGGTTATAGCCGCCCCTCCCTCCTCTTCCCATCTTGGTCGGCAGCTCTGATTGTGGGGAGGGGGTCTAGCGCGGTTCCTGGGCGCTGTCCGGGGTGGGGGGGTGAGGTGGGGGGGCGCGGCTGCTGGAAAAACAGGTCGGGGTGTGTGTGTTTTAGTCTGAAATCGGCTGACTGGCTGGAGCCACGGTGGGAGGGGGCTGCAGTTGCCCCCTCTGGGTCCGGATTGGGGAAGGAAGGGTCCCTACACGGGTGAGGCTGGGGTCGTCTGGAGGAGCCTCCCCCTAGAACGACGCCCAAAATCAAGAGTTCTGAAAGTTTCCAAATTGAAAAAAAAAAAAAGTCGGCTTCTGTTTAAAATACAATCCGGCCTGTTTGAAAATGCGGAGGTTCTGATGACATTAGCTAGTAGGGTCATAAAACGTCGGAAAGAAGAGAACCAAGCTCGGAGCGCAGCTGGGAGCCCCCCCCCCCCCCCCCTCCGCGCAGAAGTTCCTTTCCTGGGTGCTATGGCTCTGCGGCTGTTTTTGTGATTTTATGCTTGCTGTGTTGTGTGTCTGTTGTGCGAGACCCTGTTTTTTACTCCTTATTTTTCCTCCCCATTTTTTATTAAGTTACATAATGTTGCAATTCAACTGATATCGGTTAAGCAGTGTTCATACATATATACAGATTGCATACATGGTGTCTCTTAGATTACTTATTCCTTTTAGTAGTTGCACCATCCCTTATTCCTTCTTTTATTTTATCTTCCGTCCACTTATACCACCCTTCCCACATCGTATAGTACTCTGAATTTTCATCATCATTTAACTCATATGTTAGTTTACTCATCTCAGCGCATTCAAATACTTTTCTGATTATATGCTCTTCCAGTGGTAGGCCCTTTTCTTTCTAATATTGTGCATATATTAATCTGGCAGCCGTAATAATATGTATAATTAGGTACCTCTTTTTTTTTTTTTTCATATGTCCTTTTTAGTATTCCCAGGAGAAATGTTTCAGGCGCTAAATCAATGTTTTCCTCAATTATTTCTTGTATCCATTTTTGAATTTTTTTCCAATATTTCATCGCTTCGGGGCATGTCACCACATATGGAAGAAGATACCGTGATGGTGGCCACATTTCCAACAATTTGGATTTGTTTTTTACTCCTTATATGTTGCTCTGAGGTTGGCTGTCAGCCTGTGAGATGGCAGAAGTCAAGAGATGGAATATTTGCAATAGGGCTGTGTTTCCTGTTAGCTCTACCAAGACATCAACAATCTGGAGTCTTTTCCCCTCCAAATAATTTGCTACAAGTTTGTTTGTTTGTTTGTTTGTTTTGTCAAACATGTACAAGATAACAGGTATAAGTATGAACATGGACATGAACATAGGAAATGAGTACAAATAAATGGGGACAGTAGGACAGGGACGGAAGGCACGCTGGTGCGCTTATGCATGCCCCCTTTACGGACCTCTTAGAAATGGGGTGAGGTCCACGGTAGACAGTTTGAGGTTGAACCTATGGGGGTTTGAGGGGTTTGTAACAACGGACTTAGGTAGAGCATTCCAGGCGTTGACCACTCTGTTGCTGAAGTCGTATTTTCTGCAATCGAGTTTGGAGCGGTTTACTTTGAGTTTGTATCGATTGTTTGCCCGTGTATTATTGCAGTTGAAGTTGAAGTAGTCATTGACAGGTAGGACGTTGTAGCAGACAATTTTTGTGTACTACGCTTAGGTCAGACCGTAGGCAGTGCAGTTCCAGGTTGTCCAGGCCCAAAATTTCAAGCCTGGTGGCATAAGGGATTCTGTTGTGAGCAGAGGAGTGGAGGACTCTTCTCGTGAAATACCTCTGGACTCACTCAACGTCTGATATACAGTGTGGATTGCAGGCAGACAAGCTGTATTCGAGAATTGGTCTGGCAAAGGTTTTGTATGCCCTAATTAGCAATACAATGTTACCGGAGAAGAAGCTTCGCAAGATTAGGTTTACAACTCTTAATGCCTTTTTGGCAATGCTGTTACAGTGAGCTCTGGCGCTTAGATCGTTTGAGATGAGTACTCCTAGGGTCCTTGACAAGAGTGAGGGTCATCTACGAGGTCGTATCCGCCCAGCTTGTATTTGGTGTTCTGATTTTTGTTGCCAATGTGTAAGACAGAGCATTTGTTGGTTGAGATTTGGAGTTGCCAATTGTTCAACCATTCTGACACAGAGTCGCTTTGTAGGGCAGCAGCATTGTCAGTGGTGTTGAATGGTTTTTACGTCATCAGCGAAGAGGATGCAGCTGCTTATAATATGATCGCAAAGGTTACTTATGTAAAGCAGAAAGAGTGTGGGTCCTAAAATGCTGCCTTGGGGGACACTGCTGTTAACTGGTGCAAGATTTGATAGGCCACTCCCTATTTTGATACTTGTTGTCTTTTTGACAGGAACGCAACTATTCACTTGTGCAGGGATCCGGAAATACCGTAAGAGCTTAGTTTTAACAGTAGTTTGTCATGTACCACTGAATCAAAGGCTTTGCAGAAGTCTATGTAAATTGCTTCAGTGGTGGGATTCAAATTTTTTTACTACCGGTTCCGTGGGCGTGGCATGGTGGGCATGGCAGGGGAAGGATACTGGAGGACACCCCTGGAGGTCACCCACTCCAGGGGAAGGATGCTATAAAATCTCCATTCCCTCCCCACTCCATAGGAAGATTACTGCAAAATCCCCATTTCCTCCCGATCAGCTGGGATTCGGGAGGCAGAGACTAGATGGGGGCGGGGCCAGTCAGAGGTGGTATTTACTGGTTCTCCAAACTACTCAAAATTTCCGCTACCGGTTCTTTATTGCTTTACCCTGGTTGAGGGTTGTGTGGTCCAAATGTTTCTGCAGTGTAGGAGTTGCAGATTACAGGACAACTTTTTCCTGAAACCAAACTGCTTGTTAGAGAGTAATCTTTAAATTAAATTAAATTAAAATATTAAATTAAATTAAATTAAATTAAATTAAAATTAAATTAAATTAAATTAAATTAAATTAAATTAAATTAAAACATCTTACATTGTAATGAAGATTAGGAGACTGGAGACTAAAACATACGATGAACAGTTGCAGGAACTGGGCCTGGCTAGTCTAGTGAAGAGAAGGACCAGGGGAGACAGGAGAGCATCTTCCAATATTGGAGGGGCTGCCCCAGAGAGGAGGAGGGGGTCAAGCTATTCTCCAAAGCACCTGAAGGCCAGACAAGGAATAATGGATGGAAACTGATCAAGGAGAGATTCAACCTAGAAATAAGGAGAAATTTTCTGACGGTGAGAACAATCAACCGATGGAACAGAAGTTGCTTTCGGAAGTTATGGGAGCTTCATCACTGGAGGCTTTCAAGAAGAAACCAGACTGCCATCTCTCAGAAATGGTGTAGGTTCTCCTGCTTGGGCAGGAGGGGGTTGGACTAGATGACCTCTAAGGTCCCTTCCAGCTCTGTTATTCTGTTCTGTTCTGAAGAACTCCGCTTAAAGCTGCTCTTTTCCTTCTCCCCCTCTATTTTTCCTTTTGTGTGCTGACGGAAGCCCAACCTCCTATGTTTTATTGGTAGCAAACCTGAGAGCAACGTCTAAAATATAATTTAAACAACATTCTTCAGCCGGTGAAGAAGCTCATCGTGCTCTCCTTTAAAAAAAAAAAAAAAAAAATTAGCTGCAGTCAGGATCAGCCAAATAAATAAATGACCCCTCCAAGAATAAGGAAAAAAATAATAATAATAAAGACACCAGCCAAAGGAATTCTACAACCTAAGGATTTTATTTGTGCGGATTGGGGTGCTTTTTGCCCCCTTGGTTTTCTTTGACAAGAAGCGGGTGGGGAAAAAACACTCTACCAATGTTCACGGAAGGAGACGAGGATGAAGCAGGAGGGATGGGCAGTTCTGGACCCCGAGGGAAAAAGAGGGGAGGGCATTCCTAATTGGGAGCTGCTGAATTTTGCCCGGAAAAATCAAGAGCCGAGAGAGGAAACCAGGGTTTGGCGTTACCTGAGCAATAAAATCCTGAAGGTGGGAGGAAGCGAAAGCGGTTGGCTTAGATGGGAAAGCAAAAGCCCGATCGGGGAGGGACAGAGGGGGGGGGAGAGAAAGGGCCAGGTGGGGAAGGGCCGGAGAAAGAGGCAGGGCAATCCGAAAACATCCAGAGTCACCGGTTTGAGATGGGCAGCTATATAAATCAAATCAAAATCAAAAGTATCTTACAAACCCATCTATTCTGGCCTCTTGGATCTGGTGCCCACCTGGCTGCCCTCCATCCGTCCACTTAAGCTCACCCTGTAATTTTAACCACGCCAAGAAATCAGGAGGCCCTTTAAAGGCTGGGAATAAAATTTGCGACGAATATTTCCATCTGATTTAATTTTGTATCTTACTTTGTTTACCCTGCCTGATAAGAGCAGGTTTTGCCTCTTCCTTCTTTCCTTCCTCCTTTCTTTCTTTCTTTCTTTCTTTCTTTCTTTCTTTCTTTCTTTCTTTCTTTCTTTCTTTCTTCTTTCTTTCTTTCTTTCTTTCTTTCTTCCTTTCTTTCTTTCCTTCCTTCCTTCCTTCCTTCCTTCCTTCCTTCCAAATTTAATTTGATTTTATCGGGTTTTTAAATTTTGTGTATTTATGTATTTTATTGTTGGCTGTTCACCGCCCTGAGTCCTTCGGGAGTAGGGCGGTATACAAATCAAATAAACTAAACTAAACTAAACTTCCTTCCTTCCTTCCTTCCTTCCTTCCTTCCTTCCTTCCTTCCTTCCTTCCTTCCTTCTTTCTTTCCTTCCTCCCTTCTTTTTATTTATTTATTTTTCTTTCTCTCTTTTTCTTCCTTCTTTCCTTCCTCCTGCCTTTCCCTCCCTCCCTCCCTCCTTCCCTCCCTCCCTTCCTTTCTCTCTCTCTCCTTCCCTCCCTCCCTTCCTTCCTTCCAATTTAAAAAAATAATAATCAGTAATATACATTGTCTTAAAGCGAATTTTTTTTATCCTCCATTCTGAGGGATTCCAAATACTGCAATCTTTTTTTTTTTTTAAATATCTTTGCTGTGTAAAGGTTTGGCCTTGACAATCTGATACTTCGTTCTGGGAAGCCTGCAACAGAAGGTGTTTCAAAATTTCAAATATCACACCTCCGTTCTTAGACGCAGACACTGGTTGCTAAAATGTGTGCCAGTCATTTCCTGTTTTAAAAGTATAAAGCCCCCAACTTCAATTATCTGATCGCTTTGTGCAATGCTCCACTGCTGAAGGGAATCGCTGCTTTTCCATAAACCTTCAGAAATCTTATCCTGCAGTAACTCTTCCGGCTCCACTATTTTGAAGGAAGGAGAAAAAAATGCAGAAAACCTGCTACACCCAGCATCATATAAGAGCTGGGTGTTTAAGGGAAGAAATCCCAATTTGCAAGCCCAGAATTTCTGAAGGACATTTCAACCTCACCCATCGCTTCTGCATTCCACCTTTCCAGATCCTCGCAGCTAAATATTACTTTAACCCACAGAGAAGCAGCCATTTTAAATACATTCCAAATTAAACTCCAAAATGACTTGCATGCAAACATCTTCGCAAAATAGAGCCTGCAAGTTAGGAACGTTTAACAAGCATTTTTTTGATTGTTCTTATTTTTCCACCTGCAAAATATAACACATCGCATTATGCTTTGATTTTAACCCACTTCGTTTTGACTTTTTAAGCCCAATTTTTCGGCCCCCTGATATCGAGTTCAATGTTGGCTCCCGAAATTCTTCTTCATACGTTAATCTTCTCTTTCTTCCTATCATAAACTTAACATCAGTTGCGCCATCCTATGGCGCATACGATGTGCAATTGATCTCATTTTTTCCCGGCATTAAACTTGTAATTTAAGGGCGCCACTCTTCCTGGCATTTGGGCATTCTTGGTGCATTTTAGCATATTTAGATGCTTTTCACGAGATGGATGGCCATATCAATGATGCATAAACACATGTTGGATTATCTTATTGCAGCTAAATAAATCACTCCCTTTTGTTATAATTGTTGGGTACAAAGGTGTCGCTCTAAGAATGGATGTGGAACCCCACTTTTTACAGAAATGGGCTAGGAGCTTCTTTGACCTTGCATTCTTGACTCACACAAGCCTCTTGCAAATTCTTGGAGAGCAGCCAATCTCTGCAGTCTCCTCCACCTTGGTGTCCGGAAATGCAAGCCAAAGGGAAACGGATGAAATTACGCTTCGTCAGAGAGTCATTAACTACCAATTCCTGCCTTGCCAGCATCTGGCAGTAGAAATCAAATAAACAGAAATAACTCTGAGAAGGCACCGGTTTTCTTGAGAGCGAGGGAGAGGTGACCCCTTGCAGATGTCCTCTTGCAAGCCACGTGACTCTTTTGGTCACAGGGAAAGAATAAAACAGAATAACTGAGTCAAAAGGGACCTTGGAGGTCTTCTAGTCCAACCCCCTGCTTAAGCAGGAAACCCTCTGCCATTTCAGAGAAATGGTTGTCCATAATGCACAGACTTTCCTTCCAACCATAAACGGCTCTTCTCAAAAGGCCAGATTGAGCTGGGCAAACTAAAATGAGAGAATCTGAATTATTCTTCTCAAAAAAACAAGGATTTCTTTCTTTCTTTCTTTCTTTCTTTCTTTCTTTCTTTCTTTCTTTCTTTCTTTCTTTCTTTCTTTCTTTCTTTCTTTTCCTTCCTTCCTTCCTTCCTTCCTTCCTTCCTTCCTTTCCTTTCTTATTTGACAGGTGTTGGCTGAATTGAAATCAATCCCTGCTTCTAGTTACACTGAATCAAATCTGATGAAAGTCCCTAAGTTATGTCTGCTGTCCTCTATAATTGTATGCAGCCACTGAACATAGCTTCATTTTCCTTCCTTCCTTCCTTCCTTCCTTCCTTCCTTCCTTCCTTCCTTCCTTCCTTCCTTCCTTCCCTCCCTCCCTCCCTCCCTCCCTCCTTCCTTTCTTTCTTTCTTTCTCTCTTTCTTTCGCAATCCAGTAGCTACCTCTTTGATCACCTCTTTGCCAATAGGAGGTTTCTGCCATCCAGCTGGGCCATGGACTCTCCTTCCTCCAAAGCAGGACTCACCCCTGCGAACCGTCCTGCCCCCAAACGAACAGATCTGGGAACCACAAAAGCCCCACCCTTTCTAGCAAACGGCACCCACTGTGAGTCACAGGTGCCAGGGGTTGCTCGGACCCACAAGCCGCTGCTCCTGCAGCCCATTTGCAAGCCTCTTTTGCTGCATACATGCCTTGTTGCCCTCTTGAGGTCCAACAGCACAACAGTCATCCAAAAATAATAATAACGTTGCACTTTTTATCAAACCTACTCAAGCTGATGGCAGAAACCGGCAGCGGCCAAATTCTGGGCCCTGCATAGGCACCCAAAACTGGATTGCAGAATTTATTACAGCCCAATTTTAACCTCAGGGTGCCGTCAGCCAAACAATGTCGACTGGCAGCCCCCAGGGGGAGAGCCTTCTCTGTGGGGGCACCTGCCATCTGGAACAAGCTCCCCTCGGAGATACGGAGGATCCAAGACTTACGCATCTTCCGCTGCGCCCTAAAAATGTTTTTATTCCAACAGGCTGGTCTGGCCTAACTCTCCCTTTTAAATTGGCTTTTAAATTGGCTTTTAAATGTTTTTTAGATAAATTGGATGTTTTAATTTGTTTCTTGAGCCTAAATTATTTAATCTGTTTTTAATACTTTTTTAACTTTTGTATGTCTTTGTATTTTATTTTGGCTGTTCACCGCCCTGAGTCCTTCGGGAGTAGGGCGGTATACAAATATGATAAAATAAATAAATAAATAAACCTCTGTTTGGAAACATTGCATGCATTTAAGCTATATTTTAAGAAAAGGAGGGATCCCCAGTTCCTTCTTTGACGCAGCCCAAGACAAAGTTCTCCGACTCTTGATATTGTTCAGCTTGGCAGCCCATCCCTCCAAGAAACCCCTTCGGCCCCCATAAGTGGAACCATCTCCCCATCCTCTCCCTGCCCCACGGGTCCTTTTGCCCAAAACAAAAAGAAGAAGAAATGGAAGCTCTAGCACCCCCAGACCTCCTAGAAACCCCCGTTTTTCCTTACCCAGAGAGTTCTTGGAAGACCAGAGAGGGGGAAAAAAAAAAAAAAAAACAGAAGTGGAAAAGCAAAAAATAAAGAACACCCCAAAACAACAATCCCAACAATGGTGGCCACTGCTCTGCTTTTGGGGAGGGGGGTTAGGGGATTGAAGAGGCTCGAACGAGAAAGCGGGATGGTGAAAGCAGAGGGAGGGAGGGAAGGAAGGCGAGGCGATGGGCTATGTAGTCATGCTCCCAGTTTCCCCAAGCCCTGCGAGGCGTTGCTTGCACGTTACGGCACGATAAAATTGGGTCTAAGCGCAAATCAGTCACTCCCAGCAGCTATGTGGCTAAATAGAAAGAGAGAGAGAGAGAGAGAGGGAGGGAGAGAGAGAAGATACAGAGAAAGAGAAGATTAAGAGAAAACCCTTCTGCCTTCCGGCTCAAATCCATGGTCCACACCGGTTTCCACTTTCCAAAACCACCAGGAAGAGGCCCACGTTCCCTGGATGGGTTTAGGCTTGTGTGACAGGCCGTTCCTTCCTTCCTTCCTTCCTTCCTTCCTTCCTTCCTTCCTTCCTTCCTTCCTTCCTGTTCCCCCCACCCCACCTCCCGGTGCCCCTCTCCCCACTCGCTGGTTTTTCTTCTCCCTTCAGAGCGACACAAAATCCACCGCTTGCAGTAAAGGGAGCGACAGGAGGAGCAGGAGGAGCCAGGAGGTGTTCTGGATGAAGACGCTGATCCCGGCGCATTTCGCCAACTGGGCTGTCAAAGGGAAAGGACAGAAGAGAGGTCAGAGAGTCGGAAGGGGCCTTTGGAGGTCTTCTAGTCCAACCCCCTTCCATTCCCCGCTCAAGCAGAAGATCCTGAGAAATTGGCGTTCCTTGTATTAATATTAGGATTGGGAAAAAAGTGAATTTAAGGTCAAGAGCCTTGATAGTACAGTGATTTAGTGCACCCTGTTATTAACACAGCTGCCTGCAATTTCTGCTGGTTCGAATCTCTCCAAAGCTCAAGGTTGACTCAGCCTTCCATCCTTTCTAAGGTAGGTGAAATGAGGACCCAGTTTGTGGGGGCAATAAGCTGACTTTGTATAAATATATACAAAAGGATGAAGGCTATTGCTTAACGCATTGTAAGCCGCCCTGAGTCTCCGGAGAAGGGCGGCATATAAATCAAATTAAAAAAAAAAAAAGGTCATGTTAAAACGATCATTAGAAATTAGGAGAAGATGATTCGGGACGATGTTAAAATTGTGAAATATAAAGCGATTTATTTCGAAAAGGAAATTTAAATGAAATGGAAATGGAAGATGGTTTTTTTTTTTAAATGTAAAAGGATAAATTTGAAATTATTTACTTAGGAGGGAAGAGGAGGATTGATTTAGAAGGCGAAATGGAAATTTAAATGAAATGGAAATGGAAGATGGTTTTTTTTTTAAATGTAAAAGGATAAATTTGAAATTATTTACTTAGGAGGGAAGAGGAGGATTGATTTAGAAGGCGAAATGGAAATTTAAATGAAATGGAAATGGAAGAGCCTTGGTAGCACAGTGGACTAATGCACTGTTATTAACATCTCCTGCTTGCAATTACTGCAAGTTCAAATCCCACCAGGCTCAAGGTTGACTCAGCCTTCCATCCTTTCTAAGGTAGGTAAAATGAGGACCCAGATTGTGGGGGGCAATAAGCTGATTTTGTATAAATATAGAAAAGGATGAAGGCTATTGCTTAGCGCATTGTAAGCCGCCCTGAGTCTTCGGAGAAGGGCGGCATATAAATTAAAGCAAATAATAAAAAAAAAAAGATGGGTTTCTTTAAATGTAAAAGGATAAATTTGAAATTATTTACTTAGGAGGGAAGAGGAGGATTGATTTAGAAGGCGAAATGGAAATTTAAGTGAAATGGAATAAGACATTTGTATTTAAAAAAGATGATGTGGAAAACAAATTTGAAGAAATATATTGTTAAAAGGGTAAAGTGATTAATAAGGAGCTGTGGCATGATAATCTGGTCCACCTTTAGAAAACAATGGAGATTAAGATATACGGGTGTAATATTAAAAAAAAGGATTGTGTGTAAATTTAAGGTTTTCAACAGAATAAAGAAATACTGAATAATATATGTGATAAAGGGAGAAATAAAAGTATGAAATGAAATAAGATTAAGATTAGGAGGTTAGGGCGGATGGTGATATTGATTATATATTAAATATAAAATAGAGATGAAAAAGAGAAAAGGAATACAATGGCAGAAATTGAAATATGTAAATTAAAATTGGGGGGAAAATAAGCTGTATGAATTTTGACTCGGTCAATACTCTATTCGGAAAAAAATGTATTGTATGTTTGTTTGTTTTAATATATATAACTTCCTGGGATGGAGCATCCCGCAGCTTCTGAGGAAAGCCGTTTTATGACGGCTGCAAAAAATGTCCCAAGAAAAATCAGTTCAGGAACACGAGGATCTTCTTAATGACTGACATGACTTAGGTAATTCCTGGCTCAGTTTGAGGACTGTCTACAGGTAACATTATTTGTGCAACGAGTGTGGGGTTTGCTCCCTGTTTACATACAGTAGCTTACTCTGTCCATATTGGTGGAGTTGTGGTTTTCTCCTTGGCAATTGCCTAGACTTTCTACCTTTCTGCAACCTTAAACACTCAAAGAGCCATTTGGACTCGTTTCCCACAGAAAAGAAAACACCGGGAGCCACAAAACTCTTCCCGTGCCTGACTATTTCTTGAGCAGCCACAAAACTAGCATATGTAGTTGAATTAAATGTTCTGTTTTCTTCTGAAACTTTTCTTTTCTTGGATTTATCCATGGTTGGCCTACTGGGGGGTTGGAAAAGCTCAATAAATCACGTGCTGGCGAGTGTCGCACATTGGCAGTTGTGACGCATATTTTGAGTGACGGGGAGTCTCAGCAGAGGGGTGAAAGAGCCACATGTGGCTCCAGAGCCACAGGATGCTGACTCCTGACTTAGACTGTCCAACCAAGAAGAGTCCATTTCCTCCTGGGTCACCTATCTTCAGTGTCCACTCTTTCTTCCAGACGTTTCTCCCACTATCTGATTGAACCTTCCTGTAACTTCCACCCACCTTCTGCCCCTAGAAAGATATAGCCTATCCTAGCTCTACATGCTTGGGGCTCTCTTCCCTCTGCTGTAAGAGAAGCAGTGGCAGAACTTGAGGGCGGAGTGAAAAGAGACATCAGCCTAGAATCTCTACATGGTCAAAAATGGATTAGATTACATTAGATTAGATTAGCACAGTTGGAAGGGATCTTGTAGGTCATCTAGTCCAACCCCCCCACCCAAGCAGGAGACCCTACACCATTTCTGACAGGTGGCAGTCCAATCTCTTCTTGAAAGCCTCCAGTGATGAAGCTCCCACAACTTCTGAAGGCAACTTCATGTTCCATGGGTTGTTCTTCCTGTTAGAAAATTTCTCCTCATTTCCAGGTTGAATCTCTCCTTGTTCAGTTTCCATCCATGATTCCTTGTCTGGCCTTCAGGTGCTTTAGAAAATAGCTTGACCCCCTTCCTCCTCTCTGGGGCAGCCCCTCAAATATTTGAACACTGCTATCCTGTCTCCCCTGGTCCTTCTCTTCACTAGACTAGCCATGCAAAGTTCCTGCAACCGCTCATCGTATGTTTTAGCCTCCAGTCTCCTAATCATCCTGGTTTGTGTTGAGAAAGTAATGATGATTTAATAGCTGACCAGCTGCTGTAAGGCTGTAAACCGAGATGATGCAATGAGAATGAATCAGCAGGGTATCACTTTAAGAGGCTGTCTATATAAGGGAGGCTATTAGAGGGCATCTCTCTTTCTCTCCTCATGTTCTATCTCCATTGTAGTTCTCCGTGTATTTTCTCTCTGTGTATGCTTCCTGTTATAGTTGAAGATTGATTGATTGATTTCCTGGCTTTGCTTAGCACATGTATGTATGTATATATATAAAACTTTGGGTTGTCTCAAACTAGCAGTCACACTCTGCACACTCTGACATGGTTGCTCATCACTGCACTCTTTCTAGAGTCTCAACATCTAAGTCTCAACAGCTAAGCCCAACCTCCCTTGAATTTGGTTGACCCTTATCTAACTCCAAGCCGGCCAGTTGAGAAGAGTCCTCTGCATAAACTGTTTAGCAATAAATCAGTTTCATTGGACCTTCACATACGGACCTGGTCTTTCCCGCGTGACCTCTGCTCACCTTTGACCACAGAGATGTTTCTGGACTGCATGTCTTCGTAATCGCTGGTGATCTTCAACTTGCAGGTGTAGACTCCCTCATCGTTGGTGCTGAAGCCGTTGAGATACAGGCACACGAGGTTGTTGGTGGTTGTGACATTGGTGCGCTGTTTGTAGGCAACGCTTGCTACTTTGAAGTTGCCGGCCACAACTGTTCCCTCGGTAGCGTCTTTGGACAGGCGGAATTCGTAGGAGAGAGGGTTGGTGGTTTTCCGTTCGTAGGCGCAGTCTATCCGCAGGGTTTGATCAGTCAAGCAAGCGGTTAGTCTTTTGATGCGTTGGCCATGGCTGACTTGGAGCACTAAGGAACAAAAAAGAGAATAACAGAGTAACAGAGTTGTAAGGGACCTTGGAGGTCTTCTAGTCCAACCCCCTGCTCAGGCAGGAAACCCTACACCGCTTCAGACAAATGGTTGTCCAATCTCTTCTTAAAAACTTCCAGTGTTGGAGCATTCACGACTTCTGCAGGCAAGTTGTTCCATTGATTAATTGTTCTAACTATCAGGAAATTTCTCCTTAGCTCTAAGTTGCTTCTCTCCTTGTTTAGTTTCCATCCATTGCTTCTTGTCCTGCCTTCAGGTGCTCTGGAGAATAGGTTGACTCCCTCTTCTTTGGGGCAGCTCCTCAGATATTGGAACACTGCTATCATGTCACCTCTGGTCCTTCTTTTCATTAGTCAGAAATCATGTCTTCACCTTGGGCTGAGTGAGTGGTAAGTTGACTGCAGTATTGAACCCAACTACTGGTTAATCAACCCTTTGACTAAATTCAAGGGTCAAAACAACTTTAACTAAGGATGGAGCAACATCTGGCTAGCGTTGAAGTACCAAGAGAAGAGAATATTTGTAGGTTGAATTGTGGGGTCCTTGATGCTCTCTGAGCTTGGTTGTTTCCTTGCAGGCGTTTCATGACCCAACTAGATAACGGCATCAGGAATTGAAGGCGTTAACCTAGTTGTGTCATGATACATCTGCAAGAAAAGAACCAAGCTCAGGGTAGCACCATGGACAGGGGTGAAATGCTCCCAGTTCGGACCGGATCACCTGATCCGGTAGCGATGGCAGCGGGTGGTTCGGAGAACCGGTAGCAAAAATTCCTTCCCCCCCCCCATGGCCAGCTGAGCCACGCGATCATCAGAGGCTTTTTTTTTACTTTTAAAAGCATTTTTTTCTACAGCCTCTTTGGCTGAAAAAATGCTTTTAAAAGTAAAAAAAAAAAAAAGCCTCTGATGATAAAAATGCTAAAAGCATTTTTTCTACAACCTCTTCAGCCGAAGAGGTTGTAGAAAAAAAAATGCTTTTAAAAGCCTCTGACGATCCCAGCTGAGTTGCCTGATCGTCAGAGGCTTTTAAAAGCCTCTTGCAACCTCTTAAGGTTGTAGAAAAAATGCTTTTAAAAGTAAAAAAAAAAAAAAAAGTTGGCCACGCCCACCCAGTCACATTACCCCCCCTCTCACCAAGCCACGCCCACAGAACCGGTAGTAACAAATTTTACATTTCACCACTGCCAAGGACCCCACAGTATCTACCTGTGTTAAAGCCCCTTTTAAGAATTGGGTTAAAAGAAATCAGAGGCAACCTTGGCTAAATGAGGCCATACCTTAAAGCAATCCACAACTTCCATTAAAAATAATTACCTACTCATCCCAATGGTAAAGAGTTTAACAAATTAAGAGCAGTTTCCTCCTTACTCTTAGAGGGGAAAGGGACATCTGTACACGTTCGTGTGTCCCTCATGTCACCTAAAAAGAGGGCATAATACAGTTTTGTCTGCTTCAAAGAGCCAAATCGCCTGCAGCTCAAAAACCCTTCCCTGACCGAGAGCAGATTTCCCAACAATCTTAATTTCCACGCAAATAGAAAATCCAGAGGGCAGCTCTACATAGGGCTCCATTCCTAGCAGAATCCAGATGTAGAGCATGATAGGCTAAAAAAAAAAATATTAAGGATACACAAGTTAAAAAAAAAGGGGGGTGGAGAAAGAGGCCGAGTCATATCATGCTTTTCAACCTTGGGAATTTGAAGACGTCTGGACTTCAACTCCCAGAATTCCCCAGCCAGCACAGGATGGCTGGGGAATTCTGGGAGTTGAAACCCAGGCCTCTGAAATGGGTGGGAGGAGATTGCCCTGTCTTTTTATTTTTCCCTAAAGCAGTTTAGAAAAAACCCCTGGAGCTCCTGGAGATGATTGGTCCCTCCTATAAGGCTTAAAGGAGGAGCAAAGGCAGGTGGGCCTTTGCAGGAAAGCAACGTTGTTAATTCTGTTCCCAGTCGGCATCTCTGTTTGATTCTGGACTCCGTGTGGCTTTGCCAAGTAGGTCTTTGGCAGAGTGTCAAGGGAGATAAAAGCTGGTGATTATCCCGAAGGACTTTTTTGCAACTAATTGGGACTCAGCTGTGAATGAACGTAATTCACAGCTGTTGCAATAAAAGAGGGTTTTGGGACTACTTGTGGGTTTTAATGACTCAGGAAACCGAGGTCACAATAGGTCACTTATGACCCTGACTTATGATCACTTTTCACACTTACGACCATTGCAGCATCCCCCCTGGTCACGTGGTCAAAAATTCAGACCCTCTGGCAACCAACTCATATTTATGACGGTTGCAATATCCCGGGGAGGTGTGATTCTCCCTTCCTTTGCGACCTTCTGGATTCACTTAACAACCTTGTTACTAATGTAATAGCTGCCGTCGTTCGCTGAATGACCGTCTCAAGAAAGGCGGTAAAACGAGTGCAAAACTCACTTAAAAGCTACCTCGCTTAATGACGGAAGAAATTTGGGGCTCCGTTGTGGTCGTAAATCGAGGACTACCTGCACCAGGTGTTCAAAACAGAGAGAGAAGCAAGTGACCATAGCTTAAAAAGGTAAAGGCAAAGGTTCCCCTCGCACATATGTGCTAGTCGTTCCCGACTCTAGGGGGCGGTGCTCATCTCCGTTTCAAAGCCGAAGAGCCAGCGCTGTCCGAAGACGTCTCCGTGGTCATGTGGCCAGCATGACTCAATGCCAAAGGCGCACGGAACGCTGTTCCCTTCCCACCAAAGGTGGTCCCTATTTTTCTACTTGCATTTTTTTACGTGCTTTCGAACTGCTAGGTTGGCAGAAGCTGGGACAAGTCACGGGAGCTCACCCCGTTACGCGGCAGCACTCGGGATTCGAACCGCTGAACTGCCGACCTTTCGATCGACAAGCTCAGCGTCTTAGCCACTGAGCCACCGTGTCATTTTCGGGAATTGGATGCGCTTGGTCCAGACAGTTGCTTTCTGGGGCCACCAGGTGGCAGCACCTGGCAGTGTCTCCTATTACCTGCCAAAAGCAGAGCCAGGCTGACCATTGATCTCAGCATCTTCTTGGGTGGGAGAGTTCCGGTGTATATTTGTGTGTCGCCTGGCACACAGCAGCGTCTGTGGAGCAAAATCTAGGAACAGAAGCAGCATATAGTTAAGGAGGCAACGGTGCAAATCGATTGGCAAATATCTGCTGGCAAAAGCAGATATTTTATTTTATTTATTTATTTATTATATTTCTGTACCGCCTTTCTCCCGTAGGACTCAAGGCGGTGTACAGTCAAGAAAAATATAGACACACGAACATCATAAAATTGCTAATTAAAATTATTATTATAACATAGTTTGGCCCAATTAAATAGAACCTAAAATTAGATAACATTTTTAAAAACATTCACATGTTTATATGTTTAGCCCCGCTTGTTAGAACATCAGGGTTTTGAGGGCACGGCGGAAAGCATATAATATCAGGGATATTCCGTATCTCCGGGGGCAGTTCATTCCAAAGGGTTGGAGCCCCCACAGAGAAGGCCCTCCCCCTGGGAGTCGCCAATCGGCATAATTTGACTGACGGTACCCTGAGTAGTCCCTCCCTGTGAGAACGAACTGGTCGGTGGGAGGCTATTGGTGGCAAAAGACGGTCTCGTAGGTACCCAGGTCCTAAGCCATGGAGCGCTTTAAAGGTGATAACTAACACCTTGAATCGCACCCGGAAGACCACCGGGAGCCAGTGCAGCTCGCGTAGGAGAGGTGTTACATGGGCGCAACGAGCTACGCCCATAATCACCCACACGGCTACATTCTGGACCAGTTGGAGCCTCCGGGTGCTTTTCAAGGGGAGCCCCATGTAGAGAGCATTACAGTAGTCCATACGGGAGGTAACTAGGGCATGAGTGACCGTGTGCAAGGCGTCCCGATCCAGAAAGGGACGCAACTGGCGGATCAGGCGAACCTGATAAAAGGCACCCCTGGCCACGGCCGTCAAATGATCTTCTAAAGTTAGCCGTGAATCCAGGAGGACACCCAAGTTGCAGGCCCTCTCTGTGGGGAGCAAGATCTCATCCCCAATTGTCAGTGATGGTACCAGCTGACTATACCGGGATGCCGGAAGCCACAGCCACTCGGTCTTGGAGGGGTTGAATTTGAGCTTGTTTCTCCCCATCCAGATCCACATGGCCTCCAGGCAACGGGACATCACAGCAAGGGCATCGTTGGGGTGGTCTGGGGTGGAGATGTATAGCTGTGTGTCATCAGCATACTGATTTTGTGTGTGTGTTTTTAAAAACGCCATCGGCAATGATTGGATGGCATCGTCAGCCTGAAGATGTTTTTTCCCCTCAGCAAAGTCCTCCCTTCCTCTTATTTCAGGCTTCTAAAATTCTCCTTTCTGCAGTTTTTTTGGTCAGCGCTGGCTGGGCATCCAGCCAGCCAGCCAGCCACTCGTGGGAGAGAAAAGGAAGATGACTCACAAGCTCGAATCTGAAGTCGCAGAAGAATTTTATGATCTCCTGCGGTTCCCAAAAAAAAAAAAAAAAAAAAAAAGATCAGCCCCAGGAATGAATTCTAGGAATTGGGGAGCTGGGAGAGGAGGATGACCATCTGCTCCTTCGCCAATCTGAATTTCTGGCAATTTCCACTCCCCGGGGAGGGGAGCAGGGAGAAGCTGCGGAAAAGGAGAAGGCTGGAAACAAAAGGCAGATCTTAGAAAAATCCAGTTGTTTAGGAAATACGAAAGATGGAAACAATTATCCTTGGAAAGGGAGAGGCGGTGGGGGGGGTAGGGGGAGATACAGTGGAAACTTGGCAAAAGAGAATCTGGGCTTGTCCAGAAAGCTTTCCCAGGAGAAAAATTCCTGAAATTTCCACTGTGGTTTGTGGTTAGGGGCAGTGAAAAAGCCAAGGTTTTTGATGCGCTCAGCTGCATCCCAATTCGGGCGCTGGTCTTTCTTAGCAGCAGAGGCTGGGATCCAGGGGTCTGGTTGGGGTAGAGAAGGGGGGCACAGGGTTGCGCCCCTCTCACGCCTGCCCTATCAGGGGGCTGGGGTGGGACGGAGGGCCTTAGGCGAGAGAACTTCTCCTGCAGACCCAGACTCGCTCTTCTCCTCCTCCTCGTCGGGGGGAGCGCCCCTTCCCTCCCCACCCCGTCTTGCGCCCATCTAGGCCGGCCTTAAAGGGGAGACTCACTGCAGCCTGCGCGGTCTCTAGGTCAAAGCCCCGTCGGCGCAGCGCAACGCGGCGGATCCTGCGGCATTCCGGGCGGAGCAGCACGTGCGCGCTTTGGCGCCGTCCGAGCCAGCCAAGGCAGGCAGGAGGCTGGCATCCCGGCGCGCTCGCGCTGCGGCAATTGTCTGTTTTGCGCAAAGTGAGCCTCCCGCCGCCGGATCCGGCCGGGATCCGCCCTGCCTGGGCCCGACACTCCCGCTGCTTTCCTTTCCCTCCCGGGGAATCTCGCAGCCCCCTTTCCCCGCCGTCTGGAAGGGTCCCCCCCCACACACCACCTCGCCTCTTGCAGCTCCATCACCCTGGACAGCTCCTGTCCGCCTTCCAGGGCCCCTTCTCGCTTTCCGACGCTTTCCTACTTGCGTGTTGGGACTGAAGGGGGGACCCTCCAGACGGAGGGGGGTCTACGTGGGGGGAGAGGGAGGCTGCGAAAGCCCCTCGAGGGGGGTGGGTGGGAGAAGAGAGCCAGGCCAGCCTCCTTCACCCTGCCTCGCCCCTTCTCCAGCATCCTTCGCCCCCCCGTTTGATGGCTGCCACTCTCCTCGTCCGTAAGAGGGGAGGTTGGTCGGCTGGGGAGGATGGAGCCTGGAGTCTCTCCATCCCGTCCGGCCACTCCCGGGGGGCGCCGGGTTGGGGGTGCCTGGCCTGCCCGGGATAAACTGGGGTGCGCACTTGCTATCCAGTTACGCACCAGCTGGCTCCGCAGCGGGAAGGATGCCCGCCTCCGTCTGCGCCCCTTCCCTTCATTGCGCCCCCTCCTCTGCTTAAAAAGAGGAGCGGAGAAGCCGAGCCTGCCTGCCTGTTGCACCCCGAGGCTCCGCTTCCCCGTCCCCACAGCCGCGCGCCCCGTTACCTGCAGCCACGTCCGGGCGCCTGAGCCGCTCTCCCCGTCTGGCGCAAGGTAGGTCGGCTGCACTAGGAGCCTCTGCGAAGGGGTGGGCTTCCCAACAGGCCCCGCCCCTTCGCACAGCCCTCCCCGCCTCTGCGGTACCCAGGCGGAGAGCCTGCAACAGCCGGGGGGGGGGGAAGAGAAGAGGAGGGGGTTCTGCGCGTGCGCCAAGGCAGAGTGTTGTGGGTGGGATGGGGGGCGTCTCGGATAGCTTTGCAAGGGCGACTTGGGGTGTTTGGGAGCTGATGCGACTCAGGGGGGGGGTCCTGGATCCTTCTCAGGGCGTTTGGGGAGGGGGGCGGAGGGGGCGAGGAGTTGAGGGTCAGGGACTTCCTGCCACCAGGAGAGACCCGTTTTTCTCCTAGCTGGGAGGGAGGGAGGAAAGGCCATCTGTGACTGGGCATTTTCACACCTGCAGTAGCAGCCCCCCCCCCCTCCAAGGAGTCGATGCTTGCCAACCAAGGCTGACTTGGCAAGCAGCAGGATTCCTGGGTCTAACCCTACCCAGCCTGGCACGTCAGCTGGGGTTGAGGAAGGGGCTGGCTAGGGGTGGGGGAGTTCTTCTGGCCCCCTCTAGTGACAGAAAGAAGGGAGTGGGCTTACAGGAGTCCACGGTTTGCTAACGAAGTCTGTAGAGATTCTCAGTCATTTGGGTCCTGGTTGACCCAAAGGTGCTTTTTCAAGAGGCAACTGGACTTTCTTGGTTGTTCTTTGAAGATGTTTCGCTTCTCATCCAAGAAGCTTCTTCAGCTCTGATTGGGTGGTGGAGAATGAACGAAGGAAGTGAGAAAGAGAAGGAGAGAAGGAGGGGGGAAGGAAGGAAGGAAGGAAGGAAGGAAGGAAGGAAGGAAGGAAGGAAGGAAGGAAGTGAGAAAGAGAAGGAGGGAGGGGAGAAGGAAGGAAAGGTAGCTAGATAGGAAGGAAAGAAGGAAGGAAAGAAAGAAGGAAAGAAGGAAGGAAAGAAAGAAAGAAGGAAGGAAGGAAAGAAGTGAGAAAGAGAAGGAGGGAGGGGGAAGGAAGGAAAGGTAGCTAGGTAGGTAGGTAAGAAAGAAGGAAGGAAAGAAGGAAGGAAGGAAGGAAGGAAAGAAGGAAGGAAGGAAGGAAAGAAGGAAGGAAGGAAAGAAGGAAGGAAGTGAGAAAGAGAAGGAGGGAGGGGAGAAGGAAGGAAAGGTAGCTAGATAGGAAGGAAAGAAGGAAGGAAGGAAAGAAGGAAGGAAGGAAAGAAGGAAGGAAGAAAGTGAGAAAGAGAAGGAGGGAGGGGGAAGGAAGGAAAGGTAGCTAGGTAGGTAGGTAAGAAAGAAGGAAGGAAGGAAAGAAGGAAGGAAAGAAAGAAAGAAGGAAAGAAGGAAAGAAAGAAAGAAGGAAGGAAGGAAAGAAGTGAGAAAGAGAAGGAGGGAGGGGGAAGGAAGGAAAGGTAGCTAGGTAGGTAGGTAAGAAAGAAGGAAGGAAGGAAGGAAGGAAGGAAGGAAGGAAGGAAGGAAGGAAGGAAGGAAGGAAGGAAGGTCTATGGAGATTCTCAGCCATCCAGGTCATGGTTGTCCCAGAGGTGCTTTTTTCAGGAGGCAACTGGACTTTTTGTTTCTTCTCTTTGAAGACGTTTCGCTTCTCATCCAAGAAGCTTCTTCAGCTCTCAACTGGACGGTGGGCAAGGGAAGGATTTATATCCCTTGAAGACAGCTGGTCATTTGCATCCTTTTAGAGAGTCCTTGAGGCCACCTGGAGTTTTATCTGTGTCCTCAGGATCCCCTGAGTGGTGCTCCCGGTTCCTGTAGTCTGCAATTCCATTCCTACACCTACACCGTTCAAAGGCTCTTCATCCCAAATTGTACAGCTAAAAGTCTCTTTACAGTCCGAGCCCGTTTTACACGGCTCTTTTACAAGCCTTTGCAAACCTGGAGTTCTCGCCCTCGTGACGCCGGATCAAAAAAGCTTGACTTTTCCAGATTCATCTCAAGAAAAGAAAGGCATTTTTTTTAAATGTTTTATTTTTCTGCAGCCTCGCTCAGACACTTGGCAAAAACAGACTCTTCCGTTGGAGAAGACGTTACTTCCTCAAGACGGAAGCCGCCTTCTTCGCAGAAGAAATCTGGGTTTTAAGATCCTTCTGGAAAAGGATCTGTGTGTGTGTGTGACTTAAGGAGAGGCTGGGTGTTCATATTGCATCAAGCATCTCCTTCTCCAACCTGGAGGTATCTTAATGCCCGGGGATTTCCTACTGTGGTCAGATAATGACTCCAGCCAGCTTCTTTTCCATGGTGGAAAAGGTTACAAAATTGGGCATGACTCACCTAGAATAGAATAGAGTAGAGTAGAGTAGAGTAGAGTAGAGTAGAGTAGAGTAGAGTAGAGTAGAATAGAATAGAATAGAATAGAATAGAATAGAATAGAATAGAATAGAATAGAATAGAATAGAATAGAATAGAATAATGGAATGGAATGGAATGGAGTAGAGTAGAGTAGAGTAGAGTAGAGTGGAGTGGAGTGGAGTGGAGTGGAGTGGAATGGAATGGAATGGAATGGAATGGAATGGAATGGAATGGAATGGAATAGAATAGAATAGAATAGAATAGAATAGAATAGAATAGAACAAAGAACTGGAGGAATGGAATGGAATGGAATGGAGTAGAGTAGAGTAGAGTAGAGTAGAGTAGAGTAGAGTAGAGTAGAGTGGAGTGGAATGGAATGGAATGGAATGGAATGGAATAGAATGGAACGGAACGGAACGGAACGGAACAGAACAGAACAGAACAGAACAGAACAGAACAGAACAGAACAGAACAGTTGGAAGGGACCTTGGATGTCTTCTAGTCCAACCCTCTGCTTAGGCAGGAAACCCTACACCACTTCAGACAAATGGTTATCCAACCTCTTCTTAAAAATTTCCAGTGTTGGAGCATTCACAACTTCTGGAGGCAAGTCATTCCACCGATTAATTGTTCTAACTGTCAGGAAATTTCTTCTTAGTTCTAAGTGGCTTCTCTCCTTGATTAGTTTCCATCCATTGCTTCTTGTTCTACCCTCAGGTGCTTTGGAGAATCGCTTGACTCCCTCTTCTTTGGGGAAGCCCCTGAGATATTGGAACCCTGCTATCATGTCTCCCCTAGTCCTTCTCTTCATTAAACTAGACATACCCAGTTCCTGCAACCGTTCTTCCTATGTTTTAGCCTCTAAATCATCTTTGTTGCTCTTCTCTGCACTCTTTCTAGACTCTCAACATCTTTTTTACATTGTGGCGACCAAAACTGAATGCAGGTTTCCAAGTGTGGCCTTACCAAGGCATTATAAAGTGGTATTAACACTTCACATGATCTTGATTCTATCCCTCTGTTTATGCAGCCCAGAACTGTGATGGCTTTTTTGGCAGCTGTTGCACACGGCTGGCTCAAGGACTTAAGGACAGGCAATGGAAAATCTGGTCCCACTTGAGGTCATAAGTCAACGTTAAAGGGAGTCTTTACGGTTGATGCCCTCAATTTGCCCTTCTCTGCTATTATCTTTGTAGCTTCCTGCGATCGGCTGGGTTATCAAATTTATAGGGAACCCTAATTGCTTGGCATCATTAATCCGGAAAAGCAAATTGTGTGTTTGTGTATGGAGGGGAAAATCAGTCGGAAGAAAGTTTGAATAGGATTAAGTGAAGACAGAGCAAAAGTTCTTGGAAAATTTGCTTGCCACAATAATAGGTAGCCCTTGGCTTACGACCGCAATTGAGCCCAAACTATCTGCCGCTAAGCGAGACAGCTGTTAAGTGAGTTTGTCCCCATCTTACTCCCTTTCTTGCCGCGGTTGTTAAGTGAACCATTTCAGACAAGTGACCGGATGGAAACTAATCAAGGAGAGAAGCAACCCGGAATTAAGGAGAAATTTCCTGACGGTGAGAAAGTCAGTGGAATGACTTTCCTTCTGAAATTGTGGGTGCTTCAACAGTGGAGGTTTTTAAGAAGGAAATTAGACAACCATTTGTCCGAAGTGGTGTAGGGTTTCCTGCTTGAGCAGGGGGTTGGACTAGAAGACCTCCAAGGGCCCTTCCAATTCTGTTCTTCTGTAATCCTTCAGAGTCAAGGCTGGTCTGGAAATCATTTGCCTGATTAAAGTCAGAAAGCCAATTCCTTTCCGAGCAGATGGAGAAGTTTTAAGAACTGGGAGTGGCTCCTGGCCTCCTCCCCAGGCAGAGTTGTTATTTTGGAGGCTGATGGACAGAACAGGAAGTGCCAAGTGGGTAGGACAAACGGCGGCATCTTTCCAAGGAAAGGAAACGGCGTCTTTTATGGAATGTCATCTCAGAAATGCTGCTAACATTTCACGGAACGCAAAGGCTGAGACTCATCGCTTGTCCTATTTGCATTTAAAAAAAAAAAAAATTAAATATGTTTGCCAAGGATCCAGGCAAGGCAAAGGACTGAAATCAGGCCAGTGCTTTGTGGTTTGTCTAAACGTTACTTATGCACCAGAAAGTGGATTTCAAAGCAATGCATAAGCCTTCTGGGAGGGGCCAATCATCTCCTGGCCTTACTCCAGAGTCGTCCTTTTTGCTTTAATTGCTCTTGCCTTCTGGTAGCTCTTCGCCTGCGTGCATTAGGAACAGGCTCCTCCTGTTCCTCTGCCTCTCTGGTCAGCCTCTGGAGGCTCCGAAGTCCGTGCATCGCTCCCAGATGGCCCTGGCCCCCTCTCTGCCTCCGACACAGAGCCCTCATCAGAGCCCTCCCCAGCCTCCAGGACTGGCCCATGTTCCTCCCCAGCCTCCTCACTGTCCGACTCCGCTGCCAGCTCCGCAGGCTGCTGGCGGACTACAATACCTCAAAGACGTACCTAAATAGGATGGCATAGACCCAGGGCGGGGACCCACGATCTCCACTATTGGTTTGGGTGAACTGGTCTAAACCATCTGAATTCCACCTTTGGACTCCAGAAGAGTCTCTGTCTTGCAGGGACAAATGCCAGCCTGGAGAATGGCTCACTTCTGATAAGTGGCAAAAAAAACACCCTCAACAATAAAGGAATCTGGCCACCTTGTTGGATGTTTATCCTACGGTTGGGTAGATAATATATAGAAAAGTATGTTCTGTAACTTTTAACTGCTACAAAGATGACT